TGTAAAATAACTTCCTCTGGAAGACCAAAAAGAAAAAAATCAAAAATTTTGAAAATTGCGGAAAATTATTTTTTAGGCATTTTTTCCAAATAAAATACCCGTTTTTATGCGTTTTTGGGCATAACTCGGTCAATTTTGACCCGATCGGGCTGAAATTTTAAACGTTTGCTCTCACACGGACACCAGTGAGGCCGGTAATGTAAAACCGGAAGATTTCCGGAAAACCCGGAAACGGATTTTTCAGCTGTTTTAAAAAACGTCAGATTTAACGTATTCACATTTGCTCGCGATTAGCGATACTATAAAAAAATAAAACATTTATATAACGCAAATACACGCGCGATAGCGCGAATTTATGCGCGATAGCGCAATTGTACGCGCGCGAGCCCGAATTCAAAGAATTTTAGTTGTTTTTTCAAATAAGACATTCAAACAAAAAATATTCGGCTATTTTCGGAGTGTCATCGGTAAGGAATTTTTTTAAATATTTTAAACTTTTCACACCTTTAATTTAGTCGTTGCACATAAAGTTTATAACCACATATGCGCGATAGCGCAAATACATGAGCGATAACGCAAATACATGCGCGATAGCGCAAATACATGCGCGATAGCGCAAATACATGCGCGTTAGCGTAAATACATGCGCGACAGCGCAAATACATGCGCGACAGCGCAAAAACATGCGCGATAGCGCAAATACAGGCGCGACAGCGCAAATGTACGCGCGCGAGCCCGATTTCGCAGCATTTTGGTTGGTTTTTAAAATAAGAACTTCCAACAAAAATATTCGGCCATTTCCGGAGTGTGATCATTCTTTTTGGTACGATTTTTTGTTATTAAAATATTGCCGCTTTTTTGGGAACTTCATTTTGAGACAAAAAACTTTACTTTAGCAAGATAAATGTACCTATATGACATTTACAAGGCGCAAATACATGCGCGACAGCGCAAAAACACGCGCGATAGCGCAAATACACTCGCGATAGCGCAAATTTACCCGCGCGAGTTCGAATACAAATAATATTGTCTGTTTTTTTGTATTTTAAATGTATATGACATAAACAGAAAGCGTTTTTATGACAACTCATTTTGTAAAAACAAAACAAATCCATCTTAATTTGTTTTTAGGATATAAGCGAACACACACAAGTGCGCGCGAGCGCAAATATATGCGCGATAGCGCAAATGTACCCCTGCGAGCCTGAATAAACAGAAACTTGTGTGTTCTTTTATAATTTAAATGTAAATTATTTGTCTGTTTCCAAAGTGTTCTCGGTATATATTTTTTAATTTTTTTAACAATAATACCTTAATTCCTGGGTCTTCAAAAATTACCTCTAAAATATTATTCAAACTTTGTTTTAGAACCATTTTCAAAAAATGTGCAAATTCGCAATTGTAACAAATAGCAGAATAGAGGCGCGCAGCGCCGATTTTTATATTATATTTTTTTTTATTTTGACCATAATAATTTTGAGACTTTTTTTTAATTAAAATTTACGGTAAGATTTTTTTGTAATAAAAAAGTAATGCTTTTTTGTGAAAACAAAACAAATCCATCTTTATTTGTTTTTGGGATTTTTTTTTTTAATTAAAACATTGAAGCTTTTTTTAAAAATTCTTATTTTAAGCAAAAAACTTTACTTTAGCAATATAAATGTATAAAATACTTAAAAGGCGCAAATACATGCGCGACAGCGCAAATAAACGCGCGCGAGCTCGAATACAAATAATATTGTGTGTACTTTTTTAAATTAAATGTATATGACTTAAACAAAAGGCATTTTTATGACAAGTTATTTTGTAAAAACAAAACAACTCTAACTTAATTCTTATTTGAAGCAACTTTAATTTTGCAAGATAAATATATATGACATTTAAAAGAGGCTAATACATGCGCGATAGCGCAAATATACACGCGCGAGCCCGATTTCACAGGATTTTGGTTGTTTTTTAAAATAAGAACTTCAAACAAAAATATTCGGCTATTTCCGGAGTGTCATCGGTAAGTTATTTTTTTAAATTGTAAACATTAAAATCTAATTTTCACACTTTTAATTCAAAGTTTATACCCACTCACGCACGTATACATATGCGCGACAGCGCAAATACAGGCGCGATAGCGCAAATGTACGCGCGCGAGCCCTAATAAACAGAAAATGTTGATTGTTCTTTAAAAATTAAACCTTCAAACAAAAAAATAGTTGGAGTGTCATCAGTATATTTTTTTTTTATATTTTAAACAATAATAACGTTTTTTCTGGGTCTTCAAAAATTACCACTAAAATATTATACAAAAAATAACAGAGTAGAGGCTCGCAGCGCCGATTTCTGTATTATAATACATTTTTTATTTTGACCAATTGTTTTGAGGCAATTTATTTTTATAAATTTTTTTTTTTTTAACTAAAAAATTGACACTTCTTTTTAAAAATTCCAAATTTGAGTCAAAAAACTTTACTTTAGCAAGGTAAATGTATATAACATTAAAAATATGCAAATACATGCGCGACAGCGCAAATATACGCGCGATAGCGCAAAAATACGCGCGCGAGCCGCGAGCCCAAATACAAATTTTATTGTCTATTTGTTTGTAATTTAAATTTATATGACTTAAACAGAAGGAATTTTTAAGACAACTTATTTTTTAAAAACAAAACAAGTTCATCTTTATTTGTTTTAGGGATATAGATTTTTTTATTTACAAAATTGATGCTTTTTTGAGATTTTTTTATTTGAGGCGGATAACTTTACTTTAGCAAGATAAATGTAAATGATATTTAAAAGTCGCAAATACATGCGCGATAGCGCAAATGTACGATCGCGAGCCCGATTACAAATAATTGTCTGTTCTTTATAATTTAAATGTATATGGCATAAATAGAATGAATTTTTATTGTTGTAAATTTTTATATTATACATTTTTTTTTATTTTAACCGTAATTATTTTGAGACAATTTCTTTATATAAATTTGGTTTTTTTTAGACTTATCATTTTTTTAACTAAAAAATTGACGCTTCTTTTTGAAAATTCTATATTTGAGGCAAAAGTTTTTACATTAGCAAGATAAATGTATAACATTAAAAATTCGCAAATACATGCGCGACAGCGCAAATATACGCGCGCTAGCGCAAATGGACGCGCGCGAGCCTAAATACATAGAATATGTTCTTTTGTTATTTAAATTTACATTTATGTATATTAAAAAAAGATATTTGTATGACGAATCTTTAGGTAATAAGGGCACAAGTCCAATGTTATTATTACTTTGAATGTTATGTTATGATTTTAAACTCAATAAATTACTGCAATGAAAACAGTCACTATCGGCGGACAAACCTATACTGGACTCCACGACTCTATTGTCAGTTTACTGGCAACCCCCGGCGCTAGAGCTAAACTAGCGCAAGATGCGCTAGTTACTTTTAACTCTGAGAAATAGTCAAAGATGGTCACTAATCTTAAATTAGTAAAACTTTAACTATTTACGTAGTAAAATATAACTATTTAAATGTGAAAACTACTATTTTATTAGTAAAAAATGCTGGTACTAATTTAAATAGTAGAATTTTGACTATTTCATTTTAGAGAGTAGGTATACTTTATCTACGACGAACACAAAGAAGAATTTAAAGCCAATTTTAGTTTTTAAACATTTGACATCTGTCAAATTTTAACGGAATTAACCTCACTTTTCCCGTGACTAAAATGTCCAAAAGCCACTATTGCTAACTTCGGCCCGTGACTAAACTGCCGTAAGGATTTACGATGTATACATACTCCTATAGGAGTAGATAAAATAATTTTTGAAGTATTTTTATATAGACTTATGTCTTATAATATAAAAATTATTGTACGCTTGAAAAAAATTACAATTTTTTTGCGACTAGTTGTTTTCGAGTTACCACCACCATCTTTTGTTTTTATTATGGCCGCCATATTGAAACTTTACATGGTTGAACAGAAAAAAAACAAGAAATCCAAAGATGTATCAACTTACCACATACATAAGTCTCTATAAATGATGAAACAATAAAAATTACATACTTAATAAAATTAGACCCTCCCAATATAATTCATAACCCCATTCGCTGGGTGGTCCCGACAGGCGAATAAATACGTTTTATTGTTTCATGACAGTGCGACACATTTAATTACTTTACTTTTGCATGTTAATGTAATGTAATAAAAGCCGCAACTTCCGGTAAGCCATTTTTGAATGTTAAAAAAAAATGAACTTGGTTACTAAAATCCTACGACCTTTTTAAATATTAACTTTTTTTATCGAGAAATATGTACATACATATAATTAAAAATTTCAAAACTGTTTGATTAGATCCGCTGGTAAATATTTATCAAAGTCTGAATGGAATTTGTTTTTTGAAGAAGGAAGCTAAAATTAGTTGTTATTTTACATTAGGTACCTATTTACCAATAATAAAAGCATACTTTTACTTTTTTCTTAAATATTATTATTATGTAGGTACATTTATTAATTAAATGTGCCTAGAAAAGTTTATAAACTAGTTGCATACTATACTTTTTCTACGACAAATACTTATTAAGATCTAAAAAATATTTAAATGAAATAAATAAATTTTAATTAAACAACAATAATTGTTATTGTAGACACTTTATTTTAATGATTGTATAATATTTGAAAACTATCAACTAACTTAAAGCTAACTTCAGCCTAAGACTAAAGACCTGTTGCCAACTTCAGCCTGTGACTAAAGCACCATAAAGCCACAGGTGGTAGTAGAAAAAAAACACCTAATAATAGATCAATTTTTAAATTTCTGTCTATTTAAGTTTTTGAACATCAACCCGTAATTTTTCATTTATCAAACAAACTATACAAACACGCGAACTTCCCAATTAATTAATCAGTTGGTAGTTAGATAATGTAATCTTCATTTCCGCCTCAGGTTAAAAATAAAAGTTTTATCGCAAAACAAAAATGTAAAAAAACGAAAATAAATAAAATCGGACTTACTTCATTTGTTTTACTATCGTACTTTTCCCCGACTCTCCGGCACCTGTAAAAACAAAAAAAAATCGTTAGTTGCACTGAAATAATTTCAATTATTGTTTGTGCAATGATAAAAATAATTAGAAAAATGTCAAAACATGTTTTTAATTATCAAATGAAAAAAACAGTGGAAGTCATTAAAATTTTAGTGTTAATGGGGTGTCAAGATATACTTAATTATATAATTATATATTTAGTCATAATTAATTAATGTGTTAGCAAATTTAATTGTTTTTAATGTTTTATTTTATTTACATTTATTTTATTATATATAAATGTACAGTACTTTTTTATCATTATTTTTTAGACCACTTTTCAAAAAAGATTTACAAGGTTCAAAATAATATTTGTCCATAATATAAGCTATAATTTTAGATATTAATCATAATTCTTATTGATTTACCTTAAAACAATCTCGCATCTGACATATCCGTTGACTTTTATCGACAGTACTGTCGAATTAGCCATTAAAGGTAACGTTTATTGCTTGGGCTAAGAAAAGCAAAATAAACACGGTTCCGTCAATTATAAACGTCAAAAAATAACAGTTAAAAATGGAGCGGATGACGGCCATATAAAAGGGACGCTGTGATTGGCCGGCGCGGCGGACGGTCCACGGCCCGCTCTTCACTTTAAATGGCACGCTGAAATCCCCTTTGCATTCGCATGCAACAAACATAGAGGTAATTAAGCGAAATGGGATTGATTTATTTGTGGTTGATAGAGTGTGGTTATATTAGTTATAGGTACACTCAGAAATATTTTTAATAAATATAACAAAAAAGTAGTTTGTCTTGATAAATTAAAGATCCCTATAGATTCGTCCAACAATTGTTTTTGTTACGGCAAAAATATCAAAAATTATTTATAAAGTAAATTTACGTTATTTTTATAAAAATAACACTCTTCCAGATGCAGAAACGCATTGATAAATAAATATAGTTATTATTATTTGTCCAAAAAACAGTTCTATACCGTTTACAAAAACGTTTTGTAGTATTAATCAAACCCTAATAGTATTATTCATAGAAATTTTGTAAATTTTACAACTTCTTTTCGTTTAAAATGAATTTTTTTTTTTATAATATTAATAAAATTTATGTAAATTTAACAACAAATTGAATGTTAATTAATTCAATAAACAATTTTCATTGTAACAATGGTCACATTTTCAACCTACTGATGGGGTAGTTTTTTTTAAATAATTGCAATTATTTATTATAACAAAAAAATTTACTCATATTAGGTATAGGATGTACAAAATAAAAAAAAATACGAACTCACTTTTTTAACAACAAGTCTGCTTCGTTTATAGAATAGACCTTAAATATTTCTTTTACAAAACGTTGAAATTTTAATTTTCTTAGTGATCTTTTTGATATTTTTATCATGCTAGATTTTACCACACTTCACTCGCACAAGTGAAATCAAAAAGATTATAACACAGACTGTGGATTATAAAGTTATGTTCCCCCTCTTTTAAAGGGAAATAACAAAAAAATTGTTCATTGCATAACAAAAGTAAATATTAAAAAAGTCTTTTAAAAGACTATAAATTTATAGCAATAAAATATTTTTGTTATTGTTCTTAACGTAAGCTATTAACAAAGATTTTCTAACTGAAATAAAATTAATTTGAATTACAACGATAGTAATTTAAAAAAGACAAAATTTGTCTATATTTAATATGCCATTTAATATGCCATTTAATATGCCATTTAATATGCCATAGTAATATTTAATATGCCATAGTAAAATTAACAAATTTTACTAAAACAACTGTGCATTAGGTACTTTATATCAACTAAAATCATCCAGTCATATAATGCCATTATTTAAATTTTAAAAAGTATGAATTTTCATGTTAAAGAAGACCAAAATATAAAAAAAACATAGAAAACTCTAGAACTTTGTTTATGCTAGTTGTCCCCTTTTCGAAATGCGCGTCTCATTTAGCGCTGTTTTACGTCAATTAATTTTGATTAAAAGTGTCACAGTAAAACAGGAAGAAACACGCTTGATGGCAAATAAAAACGCGGTTGGCTGAGGCGACAGTCGTATAATAGCGAAGAGGGCGTCGGAATTTCCGACTCGGAAAACGCGTTTCCATCCGCAAAACTACACATTGTTTCGTAGACGCACAGCCAACCCGATTATCCAATGTAATGTTTTGCCAGCTAATATGCTGCATTAATAATGTTTTATTGTTTTTATTTGTTTGTTTTTTTACCGATGATAACTCGTCGCTTATTTAATAGTATTAAGCAAGTACTTTTTCTACGACAAATACAAGAGTAAGGTACTTTATTTTAACGATTGTATGACATTTGACAACTGTCAACTAACTTAAAACTAACTTCAGCCCGTGACTAAAAACTTGTTGCCATAAAGCCACAGCTTGTCAATGTGAATTTGAAAGATTACTTAAAAAAAAATCATTTTACATTAAAGCTGCTGTAAAATGTCACAATCGATAACATTTTAACGACTTTTAAAGTTCATCTTCTTGCAAATAAAAGTACTTTATTTTGTTTTGGTTTGTTTATGTCTGATTTTTTTGGTTGCAACATGTGTCTCTCATGTGTGTCATCGTCGTTTTAAAGGTTTAATGTGAATGCCGATGAATGAATGAATGGCTGCCTGTTTTAATTTTATATTTTTAGACGCTTTTAAAAATGCCTTTCTGTCTATGTGTACATGTACACAAATTGAGAACATTCCATACAAGTCAAAAGATTGCCTTTGGTTTTTATGGAGTATTTTTAATACTTACTAATTACTATTTAAATCTACAAAGTTCCTTTCCCAAGTAGCATTTTAAGTTTAAATAACTACAAATTAAAAATATTTTTTACGGTTAACCAAAACGGTTTTATAACGGTTTAGATACGAAAAATTACCAAATTTGGGGAATGGTTTATTTCTTTATTTTCCTACATAATAAACTTTTTGATCTACTAAGAGAATAACGTAAAAAAAACAATATAAATACCACAAATTTACGTAAAAATAACACTATAATTACTAACTGTTTGCTCTCTCTTTCTAAAACATTGACATTCGTAATTTCTTTGTTCTTTTAATTTATATTTTACAAAATTGTACTTACAAAGTAATATAGGCCACCCAAGAGTAAAATTAAAAAATATAACTTAAATTGTCAAAACTAATAATATTTTGCTTTAAAACTCAAACCACATTATTTTACTGATAAAAATAGGCACGATACATCTTAAAAATTATATGCCCTCTAAATATTTTACGGTTTTAAGAAAAATTATTGCTTGGGTAAAAATTCAACAAAACTTAAAACCTACAAATTTTATAAAATCTTTTAAAAATCATTTAGTTTTAATCATTTTTTAATAACTAAAACTTTCCTTATTATATTTTAGAAAAATATTTATGAAAAAATCTTAAAAAACTCATTATGGCGACCTGAAAAAAAGTTTTTTTTTTCCTTGTTTAATAATATTTATTATCAATAATAACCCTAAAAAATACCAGGCGAATAGAAATTATTTAAGGTCATAAAGTGGTCTGGTCTGGTAATATCGTAAAATTATGACTTATGAATAACATTTACCATTAAGTAAAAATTCTGACGTTAAAATTACCGTTAGGTGAAATACACTTATAAGTAATTTTCTTTCGTAAAAATTACGTCCCTCATAGTACTTTAAAGTGTTGAAACTTTAAAAAAAGTTTTACTTCAAAGTAAATTTTTAAGGTTAATTTAACAAAATATTTACTTAAATTAAGCAATATTGCCTTTACTTTTTGTTATTATTAAAAAGTAAAGCAAAGGAATTTATAAAATTTTGTAGATTTAAATACGAATTACTATAGCAGGTAGGTAATCTAGTGGGCTGTTTAGTTTTGTTGGGTTGGCAGTATTCATTGTCAAAGTGACTTTAAATGATCAACATTGAGTATTTAAATTTATCATGAAAAATCTTGCGAAACAAGAATGAATGAGTTTTAACAAAAGCATGTGGATACGAATCATTGTAACAATTATAAGCATTTTTAAATGAGTCATTTAATTGTATTTTTCTTATTCGTTAATTTTTATCTATGATGATTAATTTGAGGAAATTGTGGTTAATATTATAAAATGTATTCGAATATAAACCAAAATATCTAAAAACAAATCCGATATACCTAAATACAAACCTACCTAGTTATTTTAGTTATAACTAAATAATGTAATTTTCTAATCAACACGGCCTTGATAAATCCCTTAACAAAACCGAACACACAAACGTTTTTTAAGGTTAATTAATTAGTCGATTAAACGGAATAATTTCGCGTGATGCAATCAAAAGGCAAATAAGGAGCCTCAAACCAATATTAATATAAATCAATATTTAGGGCCGTATGCAAAAACATTGATTTATTAATAAATTTATATAAACTGATTTTGCATATCAGTGAAAATAGGTTTTTGCATGACATGGCAAAGCAGCCTTTTTCTTTAAAAACGGTTGTTTTATAAAATAAATTGGGTAATTATCTTTTAACGTTTGTATTTTCTCTAAAAAGTCGATTTTTATACATTGCTATTTTACATTAGACATAAAACAATTAAAATGACAATGATATTTATTTGACATTTGTGACATTTGTTTTTAACCATAGAAAATAATTTCGCCAATATACCTAAGTCATGGTTTACTAGATTTGTTTTTTGGCCAATAAAATCATCTAAAATGTAAATCGGTTTATATAATTAATATCAGTCGTTAACGATTTAAAATATGGATAAAAATAGACAGTATTTTTGTTTGTAAATATGTATATATGAAAAAATAAATTCAGAAGTTAAACATACCTATAACAAAGATATAATTAAAAAATAACATTTAAAATACATATATAAAATATAAAAAACGACATGTGCATTTGATATTTAAGAAAAATTAGTATTTTTAGTGCCATGGATGTTATTTTTATTTTTCCAATAGGGTTTCAACTCGAAAATAAACATAAATGAAGTAGATATCG